GATTTTATTTCTATTTTGTGTTGGTGTTATGTGTGTGTACGTAAGGCATGATCTAACATTTCTATTTTTTTTGGAATTTCGTGGAGTGACTTGGGAAATAGGTCATGTTGCCTACTTGGTGTTTTATTATTGATAGAGGAATCATTGTGGATTAGTGAAAAGGTGTATGTGGTTGTCCGATTTTGAGTTTTTGATACTGGGTTTTTAAGGGTTTATGTGCTCACTTTTTACCAATGTTGGTTTATGATGTGTTGTTTGGGGGTTTTTTTTTGGTAAATTGCAAATACACCTCCTGAGATTTGCTTAAAATATGGACTGCCCCTGTGGTTTGAAAAATTACAAATACCCTTTTATTAAAAATTTTTATTTAATAAAATTAACTAAAAAAATTAAATTCATAATTACCCTCTTATATAATAATAAAATTACTTAAATTATTAATTGAAACATATTTTCAACATTATTAAAAACCGTTAATTGACTTTATGATTTATTAATAAAAGTGGTGATTCGTTATAAAATTAGAAACCTCAGGGGGTGAAATGTAATTTTCAAAACCACAAGAGACGATTTATATTTTAATCAAATCTCAAGAGGTGTATTTGTAATTTATCTTCTTCTTCTTCTTCTTTTTTTGTGTGTGTTCGATTTTGTTATTCTATTGTATTTGTAATGGAAACACATCATATTATTTTTCGGTATTGTAATGTTGAGATTGGCTGCGTTATACATATTAGTTTACTCTTGATTGCAACCATTTTACGAACCACTGAATCTCGAATATGGATTTTCTGCATAACAAGTGCTGGTAAACTTTTCAGATGTTGGCAAAATTAAAGGCAAGACTTCATGATGATGATGTGGTTGTGTGTTTGGATTTCTTTTTTTTAATGGTGTTGTATTGCTGTTGGGGGAATTAATGTTGATGGTTATGCTGGCTTATGCTGTTCATGTTATTGATGGTTGACTGATTTTATTTTGTGAGGTCATTTTATTGTTCTTGGGGTGTGATAACTTACGATCATTTTTTTTTAGGGGGGAAGGGGTTACAATGTTACTTTCGAATTGAACATTCTAGGTTTAACATTGCCAAATTTGACATTGTAATCAAACAATATGAGAATCCGAATGGTAACATTTGGATGGAAACGCAGAAATTTCTATTTTAGCTCATTCATTTTGTTTGGGATTTTGGTTGTTGGAATAATCTTCCATGTACAATAAATAAATGAAACCAAATCAAACAAATAAAATAAATAACTTACAGGATTTATTTTACCGAACCAAATGAATATTTAAAAGATCAAGTCGAGTGTGTGATACTCTATCCTTAAGACAGATTCGCCTCGCTTCGATGCTTACGGACTAATGGCGTCTATTTTCCAAGATACAATGATCTTCACAAATTGTTTGTAGTATCACTCCAAACAATTTGTTCAGCGAACAAAACCTGTGTTCTAAACTCTCCGAATTTTTCCCTAAAATAATATGAAGAATAATTGATGCAAGAGAGCACAATCTGGACAGCAAAATGAATTTTTTTTGAATGTTTTTTTTATGCCAAAACACTACTGGAAATGCTGATATTTATAGGCAATTTTGACAGACTCGAACAAGTCTTATTTTGAATAAACAGGTATGAAATTGTTTTGAACAGATGCAATTCAAAATTCAAACAGATAACTGCTTCCAACTGCAACAGATCTGCTGGCAGTTTTAGACAGATAACTGCCTAGCTTGGATCTATTCGGGTAGTTAAAAACCTATAAAAAGTTTGAATTTGAATCTGTTGTGGATTGGAAATGGCAAATTTATGGGACAGAAAAATTTAAATGAATTATGTTCAAAAAATTAATTTTAGAACCGACTCAACCCACAATCGCCCTCGAGCCCGACACGGTTGGACGGGCGGCGGCAGAGTGCTCGTGGTGGTTTGAGCCAAGGTTTCTTTGTCTATAACTCCTCCTTTCTACAAATTTGGGATGCCCCTTGGGGCCCAACCCAAGTGTTGTCAACTTGAACTTACATACACATATAAGTTCTCTTCAAGTTTCAACGTGGGACAAGCCTTGTAAAGAAACCCAAATTTAATTCTTTTAATGTCCATTCCACGAACCTGAAAACGATGTCAAGTTCTCATTCATTCATAAATGGTTTTGACGAACCGTCTTCATCGTGTGACTTGTCATGCGACAAGGAACATGTCACCCTTTTGGACCCACCTCAAAAGTCGTGTGGGACCCTCTCTATTTTGGGCTCAAAGTTAGCCTAAAATAAACCTATAAAAAACCAAATTTTCAACATTTTCGTAACTATAACATCAAGAAAAAATCACATTTACCTCCTAACATAAATAACTCAGGCACTTATTTCATGGGCTTCTACGCAATTAACTTTGAAATTAGACTTTTCAGTCTACAAAATAAAAGTTAAGACTAAAATGGTTCAAGACATCAAGATTTGAGATTTATTGATACTTTATCCTCATTGTTGTATTATATTAATAATTATATCTAACTGCCCACACAATTAACTTCGTTGTGCACAATTAAGTCTAATAATATATTTTGTTATCCTTTTAAATTATTTTTAATCTTTTGCCCAAAATAATTACAAATAACTTGTAATTTCACAAAGTCAAACTTTACTATAGAGATTAAATGAGCAATCACAAAAATAATGACCAAAATGAACAATTAAACACATAACTATCTACAATCATATGGCAAAGAATTGCATTATTCTCTATAATTATAATGCCTTAAACATTATGGTGACTCTTGAACCAATAAAAAACATTTTAGTGACTCTCTTGGCAATAACAGATCTGGAGTGCCTGCTGTGCTAGAGTAGGCATTGTTGTACTGTCCTATGGGCTCATTTCGGAGTCCATCTTGATAATATGAACTGTTCATATTTTAGAGTATATCGAGTAAAATATACCTGTAAAAAATCAACTTAATCGGATATCGTTAACTCTTTCATCTACTCACATTTGTATTCATTTTAATACTTTAAATCACAATGCCATTTAGTTTTATAGAAACAAATGTGAGTAGATGAAAGGGTTAACGATATTCGATTAACTTGATTTTTTTGCAGGTATATTTTACTCAATACACTCTAAAATGTGAACAATTCAGATTATCAAAACAGACTCTGAAATGAACCCATAAATAAACACAACAGGCACCCAAATCCATACTTCACGTGAACATATATGAAACTTGGGGAATAAATTTACATGTAATGGAGGAGAGTTGAACTCTTAACCTAATAATAAAGTGTAAAAACTATAGCCAATAACAAGCTAACCCACTGGTTTAATTTAAAGTTGATAATTCACTTCATTTATCAAAAATTTGTATTTGATACTCAAAATTTCAGCGATTTGACCTTTCTTCATAGTGGAATACTCACTAATAATTGTAGCGTATTTTCAAAATTAAGTCGTAAGTTCTGAGTTTCTAAATCATCTTTGGAAAATTTGAAACCAACTTGCAAACTTGAGATATGGGGATCCTCTTGTGCTTAAAACACAAGAAAAGGGGGACATGGGGAGGGGTGTTCAGCACCCATTGTGATGGTCCGATTGAGATTTGTATCAGTTTTATTTTGATGATCTGAACTGATCATATTATAGAGTTTGTCAAATAATCATCCATATAAAAAAATGAGGTTAATCGGATGTGTAGCCCTAGAATTGGACCATAATTGTTTAAAAAAAAACTAGCAAAATTATGTTAATTATTTATTTTTTTTAAACATAAACGTGATCTTGTTATAGGGTACAACAAATGTCCAATTAACTTTATTTTTTTCCCGGATGATCTATTCAACAAATCCTATAATATGAATGATTCTGATCATTGGAATAGATTCAAAAAATGTCCCCACAGGCTCACAACACAATATTGTGCATCTCTAAGGCACAGTACCAAACTCTATAATATGAATGATTTGGATCACTAGAATAGATTCAAAAAACGACATTACAGACTCACAACACGGTGTCGTGCATCTAAGGCACAACACCCTCCCACATTCGTAAGAAGGGGTGTTGTTTCCTTTGGGAGGTTCAAAATTGTTTTTTATTTATTTATAGGATCCACCAAAAAGATCAACCATGTATAAAATAAAGTTAATCAAATATCAATAAACACATGATTAGATCAATTCTTAAAATTATATTAACAATAAGAAAAATGTTTCAAACCCCATTTCCCTCCCACCCCCTTTCCCTCCCATTGGCTAGTTTTGTTTTGTTTTGTTTTGTTTTTTCCTTCTCCTCCAATCACCATCCACCACGTGTGTGTGGGGGTGGTGATTGGAGGGAATCTCTATCAATGCTGTAACGATAAATGTGATTTTGAGATCATCAAAATTTATCTCCGCATGGGTCATCCCCTATCAACCCCCATCCCAACCTCCCTCGCCACTCCCCACACCTGTGACAGCCCCCTCCCCAGCCTCCCCACCCATTCCCCCCATTTTTTTCTCCTTAAAACACAGAGAGAGAGAGAGAGAGAGAGAGAAGGCTATAGAGAAGAAAGGGCTAAAGGGTGAAGAGATTGTAGTGGCTGCGGGGTGTGGGTTGGTGCAGTGGAGGGCGACAAGGAACAAGGGGTTGCGACAGTAAGGTGGAGAATGGAGGCAGGTGACGATTAGTGTTAAGGTTTGGGCGATTAAAGATGGCAATAAAATTAAAATTTTATGTTAGTACAAAATTATAATAAAAAAAATAAGAGTGGTGGGGTCAAAAAAAAAAAAAAGGCTCAACAAAAAAAAAAAAAGTAGAGACCTGCTCACACCGTTTTGGCAAAACACATTGAAATGAAACAAACCAAACCAAACCCACACTAGTATTTAATTCTCTCACTTCTACATATATCATCTGTCATTCAGTCACTCAAGTCCAAAGAAATTGTACAGTCTCGAGCCCTTCAGCAATGGGTCTTTTTGTATCATCTGTTGCAGATTTAGCTTATGGCACACACTCGTTCAAATGTGCGAGAGAGAGTCATGATTTCTTAACTCATGTAAATGCTCTTTATGATAATCCAGCTAGTAACATCAAAAGCCATTTACAAAACATAACCAAGAAAGAAGACCAAATCCGAAATCTACGTAGGTGAAAATGTTACTTCTATTATTGACAATGCAGTATCATCAGTATGTTATTTCTAAGAAAATCTAATAGCAGGAAAATATAACTTCTTGTCATGTGCGTTAAGGCTGTTTTCTACAGTGCTGATTGAAAAATCATCTCTGCGAGTTCCTGCAACATTTTACACAAAACCTTGCATCAAATTAAGTTGAAACCAAACAGACAATTGGTAAATTAAGAGGGAATTAAAATAAAGATATCTGATAGCAATGGTTGCTTTAAATGTAGAAAATAGAATTGTAAGTTCATTACAAAATCAAAAATCACTATGCTTCCCGTTTATGCAAAATTTGAAATCTATAATTAGGGAACTAATGATCGAGAAGGCTATATGTGCCCATATTTACCCAGTAGAACCAAAATGACTACAATAAGCTCGCTGTGCAATATGCCTGACACCCACAAACAATGTACACTACTCTAAACATTAGAAAACAATATTTTAACCTAACCTGGTTCTCATGAAAAAATAATTTACGCTATGTTTGTTTTAGTGAAAATTATTTTCCCTGGGAAAATATTCTCCTAATCCTCATGTTTCCTGCGTTTAGTTGTAACCCTGGCAATGATGTAGTGGTGGTGTTTGTGTAGTTGTTGGCGGTGGCAACAAGGAGGTGGTGGTAGTGTTGGTAAGACTAGTCCGAAAACCTTTTTCACCTTTCAAAAAAATGAAAAATGTTTTCTGGCCAAATCAACTCATTTTCTGTTGACCACAGAAAACTTTTCCCATTGACTTTCATTTTATACCATACTTATTAAAATAAATAAAATAAAAAAATTTAATTTTTTTTTTTATTTTTATAGAAAATGATTTTCTGCCAGAACAAACAGAGCATTAGCCACACAAACTTGGAAACAAAAATCAAAAGCTATAAGACTATGGCCATCATATGTCAAAGCCAAATCCCCATCTTCGCTCATTCATGGTGCTAAGTTGCTAACTAGTAAGCTTTCCAGACTGGGTTGGATCTAGTTACCCCAGAATGACAGGAATGATAACGGAAAACCATTTGGTATAACTACACGTCTACAGAGAAGTTGGAGAATTCAAAAAACAAAACCAAGTGAACTATAGACATCTATACAATGTGACTCCCTTGTGACAAACTGAGATGGAATCAAGTGATCAGCCAATTTGTTCACAACAACTGGATGGAATCAAGAGAGAACGGGAAGTAATCACGGGAGAAAATAATTAGCCATTTCTATAGCTTGGTTGAGAAGACAGTAAGAGAAAGGTGAGGAACAAAATATTTGTTTTGGTGTGTATTGAGCATTGTTATTTGTTGTACCTAAATTTAAACTGAACGTTTCCCACAAGTTTTCTTATATGTAATGAAGATCAATTGAGAAAGTACAAAATTTTTAAACGTTGTCATTTGTATAAAATTTTCTTCTCTCCTAGTATCTTGACCGAACAAGAGAAAAAATGATTTATAAAAACTAGAGATGGAAGCAATAAAATATAAAATGGCAAATCTCAAATGTGGCTAAAACTGAGAAACAATAAATTTGAATTTTGTTTTCGTTTTCATTCTTTTCTCTTCATTTCTAGAGAGTGCCAGTAATCAATTACTAGTCTTCTAGTCTTCATTGTTATGCATTCCACTCATCAGGTCAAGGATGTTTTGGAGGCCCGTAAAAATTGAAATAAAACATGTTAAATTGATTGAAATATAATATGTTGCATTACCTGCTTAGCAGAAGGAACCTTGGGTTCTCCCCACTCCATGGCTTTCTTTTCAAGTTGTTCAAAATCAGCCTTGCCAGCCTGTTAGCAGGTGTATGGTTGCATACTAGGTGTTAGATACAAAAGACCGTATATTGAAAACAAGCAAAGGATAAAAGAAATTTAAAGGCATATTACCTCTATTAAAGCCCCAAGTTCTGTATCAAAACTTTGATATCGCTTGCGAACAAGCTCAGCCAAAGAACCATCCTTTTGCCCCCAAAAAAAACATGAAGAAAAAATCTTAGTATAACAAGCAGGAGATACGGAAGATACTCTATTTGCATACTACGTAAAATAGAGATATATTACCTCAATCAGCTTCGCAACATTCCGAAGTCCACGGGCCAAGGTATCCATTCCACTAATATGAGCAATAAACAAGTCCTCAACATCTGTGCTTTCCCTTCGTCTGAATATAATCATAAAGTATTGACATCTTCAGAACCATAAATACCCAAAAAATGAGAAACACAAAATAAAAGGAAGGACCCAATTGCAACTTCTCTGAGATTAACATGCCTCTGATTTATACTCGGGTTTACACACTGATGCTGTCAAATAAAATAACTGAAACTACTGACATCACAAAGTCTTTTATCAAAAGGATATTTTTAGCATTATTTGACTTCCCGTCTAAACAAAAAGACTCACTGCATTCCAAAGGAAAAAAAAGAAAAACTTGCAGTTATTGTTGTATTTTTTGCCAATCAATTTGAGTGTGTGGTCTCTTATTGTCGTGTATCAATGTCGAAACAAAGTGGTACAAAAACATCAATGAGAAAGATGTGAGTAACAACCAGTAAGCTAAGATTAATCCACATATTTATGCATGCATGCCCAGCATAAAAAAGGAATTCATATATAATGAAAGAAATGTACTTACAGTTTGGCATCAAAATTGAATCCTCCTGGTGCCAGGCCTCCCTGTAATTGAAAGAAATTAATAATATTATAATAAGTAAATGTGTTACCTAGCAATTACAAGTCTTCAAAAGTTTTCTGCTGATGAGATTCACTTACATTTCTCACCACACATAGCATAACCATGGTTGCTTCCCCTATATCAGTTAAGAACTGATCTGTATCCCAACCTGCATGATGGACAAAAAGCTCTTTGTAAAAACTCGCAGTAAATTACAATGTCAAATAAAAATAAAAAAATTTAAATTTCCAAACAAAGGCATATATGTTTGTAATATGATACCAATCTGAGGATCTCCAGTATTAGCATCAATATTTCCCAGTAAGCCATTGATTCTCGCAGTTTCAAGCTCATGGTGACAGCTGCAAAGCACAAGAGGAAACAAATGTGATCAGCCAGTGTCTTTTACGCTTGGAGTAAATCTAAGTGCATAGAGGATTTTTACATAATGGAATGGGAAACAAATGTGAGACGAAAGGTGGGTCTCACATGTGAGTCCACCAATTGTGGGACCCACCCTTTATCTCACATTTATGTCCCATTCTATGAAAATGTTCTGTGTTCATGGCACAATTGGTATATCCCACATGCGAGACCCACCCTTTGAAGATTTTCATAGAATGGGACACAAATGTGAGACAAAGGTTGAGTCTCACATGTGGGGTCCACCAACTGTGGGACCCATCTTTTATCTCACATTTGTGTCCCATTCTATTAAAATCTTCTGTGTTCATAGCACAATCTGCTTGCTTATATGCAGGATCTTTGTTTTAAATATAACTGAATCTCCAAAATCATATTCATTCCAGACCAATGGATTTTATTCTTCTGTGACTGGATTTAAATGGGTTCAGTTGGATCGCTGTCAATCTAGCGGAAGGCTCAGACACTCGATCCTTTATGAGAGAAGTTACAAGCAAAAGCCTTAACTGAGAATAAATTGAGTCATGAGGCAGAATATGACAAACCTGTGACCGGATAAGGTGGCATGGTTGCATTCAATGTTGAGTTTGAATTCACCTGCAAACAAAAAGGCCAACTCTTGAACTCACTTCACACTACATAAAATAAAGGGTTTTCACTGGATTGTACAATTTACTTATAAAACACTGTTTCTTGATAAGTTAGTTTAATAACTTAATACACAGTAGTAGGCTAGTAGCACAGTCAAGCCAGACAAAGGCCAAGCGAATGGGATTACAAACAAGGATCCTATGTTTCTTTAATGAAAATCAAATCAAAATCTATAATTCCTCAGATTTGCTAATGCTGTTCAGCCCATCTCATCACATCACGAGCTTCATCAAGTCTTATAGCTAAATTAGGCCTAGAAATAGTTGAAACTATTTTTGATATCAGCTTCTCATATTATCCAAAACAAGCCACATAACTAGACATGTTTGACATATTAACAGCATGTCAAGTATAAACAGTTATAATACAAATTAGATATTTGACACAATCCTCAAAGCAAGAAACGGCGACACATCAGTTGGACACGGCAAGTAAAACAACAATTTCATTTCTACCACTATATCCAAAATGTAGAGTGTGTAAAATGCGGTTTCAATTTATTAATTAATTCCTCTAACAAATGAGACTCTCTACATGAAACTTTCGTCCCTTACTTATTTTTCACTTCCTCTTTTTGTGGCTAGGCATTACAGGAACCCTGGCCTACCGGGCTAGTAGTCTCCATGAGAATATTCCAATCCCAAGATGTTATGATGAAATAATTGAGATAAGAATAAGCTAATGAGAAACACATTGGAAAGCCACCAAAATACCAGTAAAAGAACCAACACAATTTAATGAGGCTGAGAACAGGTTAAGCACTTATTGCCCTGATTGGCAATAAGATATATCCTAACCACACCTAAAACCTGAAAGCATATGTGCACCAAATGCATCACAAATTTTCCAGTTTTCGATAGAGAATGGCAAATTCAGGGTTTTAGAAACTCCATTTATTAGCCTTCCATTCATGAGTGATCCTAAAGATATATAATTTACTGATGATCACCATATCAAATTATGATAAAACCTATATATAAAATCATAAATTTTATATGATAAAATCTGTGAAGTGCAAACTTCTTTTACAATACTCAACAGTAAGGAGAAGTGGGAAAACAGTTTTAAATTGAACTCCACAAATAATTTATGAAATATTAGGAATAGTGAATCAGAACAAAACGTTCCCTAGAAACATCACCAATCATCAGAGTTGCTTCAAATGCACCCTTTAGGAAAAGCTCTGTGATGCTGACATATTTGCCATGCTAAAACTATATAAATCCTATTCTTGTAATACATGTAGGCCATGTTTGTTTGGGCGGACTGGATTAACATTCCCATGACTAATAGTCCTAGGACTACGAATCCATTGGATTATGTATTCAATCTTAACTAATAGTCAAGTTTAAAATAATTAATCCGTACTTCAATTGTTTAACCAAACATCGGATTAATAATTTTATTGGACTATTAGTCCAATCCCAAGCTCATGTCTACCTAAACAAACATGGCCATAGTATTTTCAAAGTCCATAGATTATGTTTAGTCAAGCTCCAATGCAGCTTCAGAATTTATGGGCTCTCCAGCTTGAAAATGTTGTCCAAGCATGCTTTTCTACTATAAACTTTATGGAGTCACACTACTCCAATACATGCGATACAACTGAAGCAACAGATTTAAAGTGGACACAAATGCATCTAGTGAAAACTAATATGATCCCAAGTGCAGGACCAGAATAAATGGAAAAAATATGGATACATATGCACACATGCACTATATACATACATCCTATACATACATATATATATATATATATCAAACAGCTATTTTATAGAGAAACAGATAACTCTTTAAATCTTAACTAATAGTCAAGTTTAAAATAATTAATCCGTACTTCAATTGTTTAACCAAACATCGGATTAATAATTTTATTGGACTATTAGTCCAATCCCAAGCTCATGTCTACCTAAACAAACATGGCCATAGTATTTTCAAAGTCCATAGATTATGTTTAGTCAAGCTCCAATGCAGCTTCAGAATTTATGGCCTCTCCAGCTTGAAAATGTTGTCCAAGCATGCTTTTCTACTATAAACTTTATGGGGTCACACTACTCCAATACATGCGATACAACTGAAGCAACAGATTTAAAGTGGACACAAATGCATCTAGTGAAAACTAATACGATCCCAAGTGCAGGACCAGAATAAATGGAAAAAATATGGATACATATGCACACATGCACTATATACATACATCCTATACGTACATATATATATATATCAAACAGCTATTTTATAGAGAAACAGATAACTCTTTAAAAAAAATATCTTTTGCAAGTGAGCATCAATCCAAGACAGCATGAATCACTAGTTAAATATGATAAGCTACCATCACATAATGTACAGATTAACCACTTACTTAAATGGCGCAAACTTTGGGTTTTTACTAAGCATAATGTCTATCAACAAAGTACTATGCATATATTTATTCCAAAAATAACTGGTCTACACCACAGCTAATAGCAGTTATAAAAGTTCCAGGAAAAAAAATGCTATATATCAAATTTTAATGATTGCTTTGCTAAATTATGCAACTATGGGAAACTAAATAAGAAAGAAAAATCTTGATATCAGATGAGTGAAATCGGACGAGGGGCAGTAAACATCACCTATAAGGCCATATTTTCGCAAGAAATTAGCTGCTGTTGCGGCATCCCAATCATACCTACATTATGATTCATGTGTGAAACACTGTGCTATGAGAAATTACCCCTACAAGGATTAGGTAAGAATCATACTGGTGTTTAGTAGGTTCTTGCGGCTTGGGTTCAATAAGTAGTGTCCCTGAGAGAGAGAGAGAGAGAGAGAGAGAGAGAGGGAGGTAAGTTCCCATTAAATTTTTGCACAGTGATGAAAATCAATTGAGGGGAAAAAATAATTTATATTATTATTATCTTCTGAAAAGATAAGACCTAGTTTCTACATTGCAAATTATTTTCTGGACTCCAATTACACACGACGACACTATTTATGGTCCATGGCAAAGAATTGAAAACAAGAACAGTACCATTGAATCCAATCTTTTTCTTATATGCTACAGCGGCTTCAAGAAACCTCGCCTACAAATAAGTAAACAGCCTTTAAACTATTTATCCAAGAGAACAAATAAAGAAGAAGAGGATATATATGCAATAAATCAACTGAAAATAATGGAAAACCTTCAGTTCCAACATTCATATGCCTTCATGCATTGATAAAAATTGAAAATAAGAAGTTAAGAAGTACCAAAAGGCTTCTGCCCAATAAATCCAAAATTTAAGGTTTACACAACCAGAAAGCTATTGCACAATTTAATCTTACACTGCAATTTGCCAATTGGTAAACTCAAAAGTCATGTTGTGACTCACCATATGATTAAGCTCTCTTTCCATATCTGTGTTAAGAAGAGTCTGATAACCCTCCCGACCGCCCCAAAAGACATAATTTTCTCCCCCTAGATAATGTGTGACCTGTAGCGCATGTGAGTTTAGCACACTCAGATTTCCACAGAAGTAATGATACCATGAGATCATATATGCACACAAGTTATGCTTCAAGCATTACACAATGAAACCACCCACCTCCATAGCTTTCTTGACCTGAGCTGCGGCATATGCATATACACCTAATTCAGAGCTGTAAAGCAAGATCCCAAAATAAACAACTCCCTTATAAGTAAATGAACATAATGGTCACAATCAATCCTTAGTATATTGAAAAATACCTAGTAGCACCACCATGCATGTAGCGAGGATGCATGAACAACTGAGATGTACCCCACAAAGGATGAATTTTTTTCCCCTGTACATCAAATAATGTTTATTAAAGAAAAATATGAATAAAATTGGGAGAGGGGAGTCAAAATACTCTAACAATTGACCTGCTATAATACTGTGAAGTGAAATGAAAATAGGCATCGAAACCACCAAGATGACAAGAAAGAAACTATAAGAAAGTTTCAGAGGAAACACTAGAGGTTCATGATCTTCACATAATAACAGAGAACGAAGACATGAATAATAATGTATCAAGAAGTAAGATAACACATGTTTTCTACTCAAATGAAATACTGGTTTCCATAAGCCAATTCATCCACGTTAGGTTACCTGAAGCTCTTTCGCAAGGGCTACGACTTCATCCAAATTTGCATTAGATTCCTGAGACAATTAGAATACATGACAACAAATTTGTTCTATGAGCAAATATACAACCCTTGTGACCATGGTAATTAACCATCATCAGTTAAAGAGTAGGAAGCAAGAAAAAAATTTCATTTCGTTTCCACCAAAACTGCTAAAAGGTTTCCATTTTCCAGGAAACCAAGATGAAACATTGGTGAAAAATCAATCCAGTATTTCCACTGAATTGAACTGAAACTCTGCAAAACAATGAATGTTTTGACACCTATAGGAATATTCAACAAGAGTAATTTCTATTTGCCTCATTTTGTTTTGGGGGGGAAAAAAAAAATTGAAAAGAAAAATCTTAAATTTATTAGATAACTTGAGAAAATTAAAAAAAAAATAGAAAAGAAAAAAAAGAAAAAAAAAAATGAGAAATAGAGAGAGGTGAAGAGAAAACAGACATGATTAAATTAATTAGTATATTTCTTTGTTATTGTAGGTAAATTCTATTATAGATATCAACATTGGTACTTTCTTGTCCATCTCTACTACTACTACTACTACTAACATTTCTTATATTTTCTCTTAAGATGGCATACCCCTCTTCTGCAGCTAACCCTTTGAACCTTTCATTCATAATATTTTAATATTCATTAACATTTATTGATTATTAAACTTTAAAAAAAATTAAAATTGTTTTCCCATAGGACTTGCCACACATCGAAAACCCATTGAGCTTTATTTGCAATTAATATTATTATAATATTATTTTTGATAGTTTTTTTTTTAACTTTATTTGATTGAAACCTAATGAACATGTAGAATCTCACACACTTACACTTGAAAATATTTGTTTGTTTGACATTAATTTTACGATTCCTTACCCGGATTGAATTTGATTTATTTAATTTAACTAAGCATATTGGCCCTAGACAGAGCTGAACAGTGAATAAGGATCTGTGTAGCCAACCTCACTTGAGTGGGACGCATGGCTTAGTTTGGTTTGGTTCTCGAATTGAATTTGCTTTTACATTGTATGCTTGTGCCCTTTATGTAAATAGATGCTTTCAGTTTAAACCACAAACATGAGCTTGTATAGATAGACATTTAATAGATAAGAACTCTGTCATTTTTTTATTTTATTTTATTTTTTTTGCAATAAATGATAAGAAGCATTTTACAAAATAAATAACCAATACATGTTCCTATTTTCTCAACAAAATTCAACTCCAAAATGTTTTTATTTTTTTCCCTATCCTTTACTTTCCAAGACTCTCCGACAACCCAAAGGGGCCCTATCTTTCTGAAATGTTTCCGCTTTTTAAACTGACTGAGACAACACAAGTAAACAAAATTTTGATACTTGGTATGAAGGGATCCAAAACTATCACATGCTTTGAACTTATTTTTCTACTTTCCAAGACACCAAACATGTTAGCAAGCCATTTCCCTTCTGCAACATTTTGTACCTTATATAAATAAATAAAAACAAAAACTTGAAAGATCTACTCACCTCGAGGGTTGCACCATCTGGAGCAATATCCCTATCATGAAAGCACCAGAGCTCTACTCCAAGCTTGTCTATAAACTCAAAATTTGCTCTCACTGTATCATCAATAGTAAGAAAGTGTTTAGTTTCTATGAGTAACATTCAGTAATTAACTAATGAAGAGTTGGGTAATTCAGATTGATCTTACTCCTTCTCTTAGCCATAGCCACTGAATTGGTTCCATCTTCCCATGGCCACATCTTCGTGGGTGCACCAAATGGGTCACCTCCGGTTCCACGGAATGTGTGCCAGAAAGCAACACTAAACCTCATCCAATCCTGCAATCGACAATGTATGTGTTCATCATATTGTACATACATTACCTCTAAAAAAATAATAAACAGTAAGTCTAGAAATACATAAACCATATACAAAACCAAAGACAAAAAACAAATGAATGAATAGGATTGTTGAGAAGTGGGCCCCACAAAAAAATCTCATGAAATCTGATCCATTCATACGTTTTTGTTGTCCAATTATATGTTTGGTTTATGTGTTCCTAGCATTGTTGATAAATAAAATGAGAACCAAATAAATACCAACCTTCATTTTCTTCCCAAGAATCTCCTCCTCACCATTATACCACTTAAATGCAAGTGGGCTCTTGCTTGAAGGGCCCTAACATACAAAAGAATATATGAATGTAAATTGAAGCAGTTGCAATGTTCTAACTTCTAAGATTTTGAAAAAAAATCTAAACAATATACCCGCTCACCTCATACTTAATCTTAGGAATGCCAGGGAAAAATTCCCCCTCCCAGTCATCACCACATCCTTTGCCAATATTGGCAGGGCAGGTCTGTGGACTCGCCGCAATCTGCATAAAAAATGAAGCAACATAAAATGCACATATGGCAGGAAAATATATACAAAACAAAAAATACCAAAAACACACATATTGAAAATATCATCAAGAGTTAGCTTCTTTACCACTGCAAGGGAGACATGTAGACAAAGAATAAAGACCAAGAACTTCCCAGTCTTCATTTTTCTTCACCTTATACAAACTACCTCTGCACCCAAAAGCATAAAAGGAATTTGAAACCATCAGTCACCAATTAACAATAAAATAAGAATTATACCAAGTTGAACGATTATATGTGCAATTAGATCCATAGCCTTATCTATCTATTCTAATATATAAAGCCTACAGCTGAGTTTGAGTAAATTTGTTGTGCTTTTAGTTTTTCTAAAATACCCTCATAACTCATCAAATTCTGTAACTTCTTGCCTCATATAACTAAATATAACTATCCAAATCAAACTCACATCAAATTTTGTTACTTTAAGAGCACAACCATCCGGTGAGCACACAGGGCTAGTCACATTAACCCATACCCACAAATAATTGATAGCACATGAAATCCAATCATTATTCTTCTAATTTACAATATTAATCGAATTAAGGATGAATTCTGGAAATCAAAACACCAAAAGCAATGGATATCACAACAGAACACTTAAACCAGACTAGTAAATTTCACAAACAACAAGTGCAATCAAACGAAAAGCAAGAATTAAGTTTTTTTTTTTCTTTCTTTCTTTTGTATATTACCCAAAATTGTATCAAAATCAGCGATGTAGACAGACCCTTATGGTAATCAAAAAGATCAATTACAGAACGAGAGAGTAAGAGAGAGTGTAGTTTATCATATATACAAAAACCCATATGGCCATTGAGGAGATTTATACATAAAGCCAGAAAGTTCAGTCCTTTTGAGACTGAAACTACGAAAACCCATCAAATACATGGAAGTTCACGCACATATGGACACCTTACTCTGGCAAAAAATTGGTAACAGTGAGCAGACGACACATACAAACATATATATATATATATATATAGAGAGAGAGAGAGAGAGAGAGAGAGAGAGAGAGAAAGAGATCATCTTTGATGAGAATCTAGTCCCATTTTCCCCCTCAAACGTGACAACATGGCAAGTATCAAGAGGGTGAGTAACCCAAAGTCATATATATAGCAGAGCTTTGATGAATTGAAGAATTGAAAAAAAAAAAAAATTAAGAAAAATGTTTTTGAAAAATTAAGAAAAATGTTTTTGATTAATTAAGATAATGAAAGTATATTTTTTGGATAAGGACAACTAGCAAGGAAATCCTCCCCACGTGCCGGATTTAAGATTTTATTTTATTTTATTATTATTATTTTTTTTTATATTTTTTTTAATTTTTGGTCTTTGCTTGTTAACAATGTAAATTAGTAGGTCACTCGATGCTCGAAAATTTATTTTTAAAATAAAAAATAATAATTTTGAGTTTATTTTATATGTAAATTTTTTTAATAATTTGAAAGTTAAATATAAATAGATTTGTTAATGATTGATAAAATTTTTTGTCATTGTATATTATTTTATGTAAAAGATTCATAAAAATAATTTTTGTCAATATTATGAAAAAAAAAATGTATTCTCAATTTAAAATCAAATTCTCATTTATATTAATCGAGTTTATAAAAAATTATGAATTCCACTTATATAAAAGTCTTTTTTTTTGAAAAAATAAAAATATCAAAAAAATTTATAATATGCAAATTATGACTTAGTTATAATTCATGATGTATTATTATGATTATTAATCGAAAAGGTCTTTACTAATTTCTTATGTTTTTTGTTATATTTATAGTGTATGTTGTTGTTTTTTAATATAAATATTTGTCATATTCTAAAAAAAAAAAAGTATTGCATCGAGTCTTTGCTTACGTTTCAAGTGGTGTTTGATTATAATATATTATAATATATGACAATATTTAAGTATTTTATTACACGAAAAAAGTGCTTAAGGTAGGTTGACTCCAAGGTAGGATTTTTGATTGTATTAGTAAGATCGTAAGAGTTATTCACATTGATATATAAAAAATTACAAATTCAAATCATAAACAGTGTTCTCAAAGGGCATAGGCACAAAATCTCTATAACCTTAATAATTTCAGTTCTCAAAAGGGTTTTGATTAATTATGTGACACATCGTAATACTCACAAATTTTTTATTTCATCCAGATTATTTTTACATATATTTTCTGAGAGAGTTTATGAAGGTGCATTATCAGTAATACTATAAATTCAAAATTTTTATTTAAAAATTATTCAAGAAATATCAATAAGTGTCTTAAATATACACAATCATTTTCGATGAATCATCATATATATATATTATTAAAAGTAATATTTTTTTCATGTTTAGGTAGCACATTATAAGATTTTTTTTTTCTTTTTTTCTTCTAAGAGAGCCACGTCAATATGCATTTTCTTAATTAGATATAAAATTCTACACAAACACAAACTTAATTTAAATTATACTATTTTTACATATTTTATATGACCTCTATTTGACAAATATTTATTTTTGCATATATACTTTCATCGTAAATTGAGATAATTTACAAATTCAATACTAATTTTGCGTTTCACGTCTTTCTTCTTAATCCTTTCAATGTTATTAGGATTTTTTTTAAAAATGCTAAATTGCCTTTTTTTTTTTGCTCTTCTTATTTTCACGTGACGGGTATGATGTGACACTTAAAAACTTTTATTCTAAAAAAAAAAAATTCTTAGTATATTTTTTCCAAATGTGACAACATGAAGGTTATGATGTGACACTTCAAAAAAAATAAAAACTCTTTGGTGTACTTTTTTCAAATGTGACAATGTAGCGGATATGATGTGGCACTCTAAAAAAAATTAAAAACTCTTTAGTGTATTTTTTCTAAACGTGACATGTGACACTCCAATGTGGCGGATATGATAAAACTCCTTAGTGTATTTTTTCTAAATATGACAACGTGGCGAGTATGATATGACACTCTAAAACTTTTACTCAAAAAAATAAAAATAAAAACTCTTTAGTGTACTTTTTTCAAACGTGACAACATGGCAAGTATCATGTGACACTCTAAAAAAAATTAAAAATTCTTTAATACATTTTTCCCAAACGTAACATGTGACACTCTAACATGACAGGTATGATATGACACTCTAAAAAAATTAAAAATTCATAAGTATATTTTTTCTAAATGTGAGGTATAATGTGACACTAAAAATTTTTTTTGTGTATTTTTTTCCAAATGTGATACTCTAATGTGATGGACAAATAAATCATTATACATCCAAAAGCACTAAATGAACAACAACAAAAAATATAGAACCATATAAATTACAAGTTCAAAATATGAAACTTATTAATCAATCTCTTTTAGTAATATTGTTTACATTGAATTTTATATTTTTAAGGAAAAATGAGTGAGAGCACTAATTAGTGCTACCACTAATGATGTGGCAATGGGTCCCACCATGAATGATTTGATATTTTGGCCTTAGTGTTATATTTTTTTTCTTTTTTTATTGAATGCCATGTCATTAGTGGTCTTTTTAGAGCTCCAAAATTAGTGATCTTCATCATTATTGATTTTTAAGTAGTCAATTACAAAAAAGTTAAATAAGCTACCTAAAATAACTAGGATTCCAAATATAAATTTCTTTAAATTGTATTTAAGTAGTCAATTACAAAAAAGTTAAATAAGCTACCTAAAATAACTAGGATTCCAAATATAAATTTCTTTAAATTGTATAATCTCCTAACAAATCATAAGATCCCCCCGTCACCCGTCACTTGAATTGTAGAAACTCCTACATATGAGGTTGGCGGAAAACCTAATATTATAATAGAAAGAATAAAAGATCAACTATATAAATAAAATAATAATAATAATAAATCTAACAACGACAAAACAAAATAAAATAGAAAATAAAATAAATATTTTTCAAGTAAAGTCTATATAAAATTAATTATTATAATTAAAATTACGTTTGTATATAATTTTGTAGGTAAATAAAAAAGACATGCTAATATAATTTTTTTTTATAAAAAACAAACATTTATGTGCCACATAAGAAAGGAAAAATTACTACTTTATATATAATATGCCTATCTAACTCCACTATCATGGAAAATAATAAATGCAATAATTATATCTGGTCAAAGACCAAATTCTCTTTTATTTAATTAATTCCTTCTATTTAGATATTTTATAAATTTTCCCTTATCTTTAATCTCACTACTTTCTTGGGGCAGTAGCTCCGTTTGGTAGAGTTATGGGAAACTGATTATAACTTATAGTCTAACAGTTTATAGCTTATAGCTGTAAACATAAGCTGATTTTTGACTTATAAATTAAGCTTCTCCTCCCTCACTCAAAAAATAAGTTGATTTTTGACTTACAAAAAGTTAAGCTGAACCAAACACATCAAAATAACTTAAATTAAGCTAAAAGTTGAAATAAGCTGAAAATAAACCCTACCAAACAGGGCCACTATATCCATGTATGATGTATGTATATAATTTTTTTACCACTTGATATTATGCAAATATTATTATATCAATAAATGTATTTTTTGTCACAAAAATTAGTTTTTTTTTTCTGTCTTTTCTAAACTTTTTTCAAAAAATGACAAAATTTTAAATGATGATATTTCATGAATTTTAAAAATAAAAAATATATATAAATGCACAAATATAAAACAATTTCATAAGATTAATTGACAAACAAATATGAATCCAAAAACAAATGTTGTAGCATCTCCATTTAGTGGTGGAGACAGAAATTTAATATAGGGGCAACTATTAATTATAATCTTAAAATTTTTTCTTCTCCAATCAATAATAATAACATAATAATAATTTTTCAAGCTAATATTAAACATACAAAAATAATATTCATTACAAAAAGTTTTTAATTTTAAACTTTTAAAATTGACTCTGACAAGTTTTCATCTTTTGAAAGCTTTCCTTGATAGTATCATTGTCAATGCCATCAAAAATATCTCTCTCAATGTAGACAACCAAGCTATCATTCATCCATTCATCACCCATTCGGTTCCACAATCGATTCTTCACAATATTCATAGCTAAAAATACCCTCTCAACAGTAGCAGTTGCAACAAGTAAGATTAATGTTAAGTCAAGAGTAAATACAACAACGGATATACTTTGCCTCTTGCAGTCTCCATCATTTTCTTAGCAAGATCGGCAATTCCATTCAATCTTGAGAACTCATTACTAGATAGCATGTTGACAT